GCTTGCACATTTGGCACAATCTTTTCTGGCATCCGAGATCAGGTGATCTTCATTACAAATCTAAATTCCACATACTAATAAGTTGTGTAACAGGCTGCTTGGAACATAAGTACTGGTATGTTTAGACTCTAAGGCACTGGTTCTTAAACATATGCTGAGAGAGCATTAAGCAGATGAGTAATATTATCTCACTTGGTCTCAGTGAACTTTTGATTCAATCTTCCTGAAGGTTTGTACCATTTTTCTTGATGTAAGTTGCATAAAAGAGGGTGTACATGGCGAGATTGTAGGATAATTTAATTTCACAATATTTGCTCCAAGCTTTTATATTCCTCAGTGGGCTGTTGGCATGGAAAAAATCAATGAGTCTACTTCCATGGGTGGCTACACACATTGTCTCCAGGTTGGTCATATTTACACAAAATCCAGATAGCTTCTAATACTAATTCTATTATTGCTTAGAGGCATTGAGTGAAGGCTTGTGTGATATATGAACATAAAGCAATATCAGAAAAAGGGGAAATTTTTGCCATATGATTCTTTACTGTGGATTATAGAAATCTCTGAAGCAACTCTGATGGTTAAATTGAGAGACCGACCAAGAGAAACAACAAAGGACCTCCTTGCTTTTTTGGGGGGTTTGTTTGTTTGTTTTTTTTGCTGCTGTTTACGGTGTGTCTGATGGGGAGAAGCTCAAGCAAATAAATTCAAATTGAGAACTGTAGAACAATTTGATGGAGGCTGTAAATTAATGTCCAGAATTAAATTCTTCCTGTGCTTTAACAAAATGATCCTAAAGAGCTGCATTGAATTCCTTCTCCACGGTGACAGCTTTGGGTAAATGTGGAATCTTTTATCAGGCCAACTAAATAGTTGGGAAAATTGTTCTTTGCAAGCTTTTGGGCACAAATACCCTTCTTCAGGCATATGGAGCCTGCTGCTGTGTATGTGTGTGCTCTCATGATGAATAATGATTAATGTTGGCTCAATATTATGATTAGTGTTTCACCCTGGAATAAAGCCAAGTTGCTTGGTATGAACTCAAGGCAAAGAAAGCCAGTGTTCTAAGATTTCTGCCCATTTTTTATTATCTAAATTAATTAGTGGTATTGGTAGGTACAATGTACAGTGTTACGGATTTTTAAACCATACAGTCAGTCCTTGGACTTACGACACAATTGGTTCCTGAAAACTGCATCTTAAGTCAAAACGTAACTCGGAACCAATTTTTTTATAAGAAACAATTGTTATAAATGGGGGAATGGTTCCTGAACCAAGGCCCGATACCCTATTTTCACCAAAAATACCCCAGAATTTTGTACTCGGTCAATTATACATGAGTAATATAGGTACATTAATGTATTTATATTGTAAATAGCAATCATATTGATTTGGAAAGACTTCTTTGAGGTGACCTTGCTGGACTTTTTGAAAGGCTCTCGGTTGGACTTTTTGAAGGGTTCTTGGCTGCAGGTTTTTCTGGAGTCTTGTCTGCTTTCTTAAAAAAAGTGTTCAAGGAAGTTTGGACAGATGTTCTCCAGGGAGATGAGCGATGCAGCGAACTTGTTTGGTGGCATGGCGTTGCATCAGATCAAGCATTGCAAGTTGAAACTGACATCATAAAGTTGAAACAGGGTGTCAGTTTATAAACGTTGTAAGTGTGAAATGTTGTAACTCAAAACATTGTAAGTCAAGGACTGCCTGTAGCTGATTTTGGCATGGTTCTACATGGGAAAGGTGCTCTATCCAGATGGTTCTTACAAGATTGGGGCCTTACCATATATCACTTCATGCAGCCTGTTTCCTAGGGAAGTGTTATGCTTGCTAGTTAATTTATACTTTTCTGAGTTACATGATGGAAAAATTATCATTGTCAATTTTTAAAGATTGAGATAATATAAGCAATATGACTTCACCAAGAAAGGTGTTTCCTTAACGTTTTCACTCAAATACTAACCACAGGTATTGATAGCAGTGTCACAACTCATCTCCCCCACTCCCCTCCCCACTGCCCATTTCTCCATTACTTGGTGCTTTGTTTTCTTTCTTGCTTTCATTCATGCTTATCATATTTCCTTCCTCTGAGAGGTTAAAGTTATTGATAGCTTTTGTTAAAGGCTGGCCATGCCCACCTATTATAGTCTTCCTGGAAATTCTAACATAATTTTCAGCATTATGCTGAAGTAGGTTTTACTCTCTGGTTTATTTGAAATATAACTATACTCATCTCAATTCTTTTAATTAAGATAGGGGAAGCATCCTAGTTAATGCCCAGTTATAATTTTCAATGATCTTTGTAGCTGAAATAAAATATTTATGCTAATATTTTCAAAAGGTGCCAAAGGCAGCTCCTGTTCCATTCCCATTGGACACCTCATTCTATAACCCCCATCATTTAAAATCCCACCCTTAACTATCCAGTCTTAATAGTTTTAAAGCAAAGTAGTCACAGAGCTGGGAAGTAGGGCTGTGCGAAACGGAAGCATTCTGTTTTGACCAGTGTTTCAACATTTTGACAGAACAGTGTTTCGTTTCAACTCTTGTTTTGAGTAGAAATGGCTGTTCTGTTTTATTCCGTCGAAACGTTTTGCCGTTTCGACCCTGTTGTGATGTTTCGCCCATAGGATATAATGGGGAAGGTCGAAACAGGCTATAACTTTGTCATTTCTGGCCAGAATTTTGCCTGTCAGCAGCTAAGAGTGCAGGGCCCCAGAACCCAGAAGCCCTGCTCCTATCTCCTCGACAGCTGGCAGGCTTTGTGGCTGCAGCAGGGGCTAGCATGCCTGCAGCTTTCACCCTGCTGTGTCTTAACACACACAGTGTCACCCATGTCATGAGTTTTGCTTGTCCACAGCTTGAGGTGCAGTTTCCCCCAAACCCCTGCACCTATCTCCTTGAAACTTGGCAGGCTTTGTGGCCTCATCAGGGGCTAGCATCCCTGCAGTTTTGACCATGCTGTGGTTTAACACATACACGTGACATGAGTTTTGCTTTCAGGATTTTTGGGTGCAGTTTCTCTGAACCCCCTGCACCTATCTCCTTGAAATGTGGCACACTTTGTTGCCACAGCAGGGGCTATCATTTCTGTAGTTTTGACCCTGCTGTGGCTTAATACATACACATAGCACAAGTTTGGCTCTCAAGACTTTGGGGTGCAGGTTCTCCGAACTTCCTGCATCTATCTTCTTGAAACTTGGCATGCTTTATGCCCTCCGAAGGGGCTACCATTTCTGCAAGTTTTATCTAAATCTGGCCAGAAGTGACAAAGTTATAGGCTGTTTCAACCTTCCCCATTATAGCCTATGGGTGAAACATCAAAACAGAGAAACGTTTTGACTTGCCTCGTTTTGTTTTGAGGCTGTTTTGATCATATCTGTTTCATTTCGATGTTGCTGTTTCAACCTTGAACAGCGTTGAAACAAAACTGGTGGCGAAATTTTGTACAGCCCTACTGGGAAGATCAGCTGAGATATCAGAGAATGTAAGTGCTTAAGGTCAACATTTCATAAGACTCTGTAAGTTCCAACTCAAGGAAATGCAGCTTTCTGTTACTTGAGTCTACAAACATGAACATTTGGTGTTATGGGTGCAGTATGGGTGCTCACAGGAAATCTGTTCATGAGTTACCTTCCTCAACAGTTCTGTTACCTAATTGGGTCATGAGTATCTCCTTCAGTCTTTCTGAAAAGGGGGTGATACAAAAATGAGATACATTTGCACAGAATCCCAAAAAACATTGGATCTTAAACACTTGCTTGTATGAAAGAATGTAAATGAAACCACCTGTGACTGTTATTGCAGAGTGGTGGTCAGTGGTTAAATAACCTAGAAACCTCTAAGATGCCAATAGCTTTGTGTAGAAGAGCAGTTTAGAGAGAGAGTTCCTCCCCAGACAGAGGAAATGCCACCAAAATTGTGGAACTGAAGTCCACTCCATGATAGGGTTGACTGGGCTCTTTAACCCTAGTCAGCAGTCAGTTGAGGAACGGAGCTGTGATAGATGGACAAATGAATGATCTGCTTTGCTCCAGTAGCTACTGCAGCCAAACTGCTTCCAAACATACTGGCACCTGCCTTTCCTTTGGATTAAACCAGCAAGGCTGAGAGGTGGATACTGGTTTGTGGGCAGCTCAGTGTCTCCATATACACCACTAAAGCTGTTGCACTGTGGAGAGGTCACTCAAGCTCCACTTAATCTTTCAAGTGAGGATTCCGATCAGCGAGCTGATGACTCTGTCAACACAATTCTGTTGTTTCACAAGACAGAGAAATGCCTACTAAAAACAGGCAGGCGAAAAACAAACTACCTGCTTTAGAAATACCATGCCAACAAGTCAAACTGCAGTGCACCTGATGCTGACCCCTGTAGATGGTCTTATCTTCAGAAATGCTGAGCTAGCTAGAAAAGCCTAATCACACTAAGTGAAACTTTTCACTGTTGACAGACAAATTATCAGGAAGGGGCTGCCACCACTGGTGATTTTACAGCAAAACATATGGTATTTGGTGCCCGTCTTAAGAATCCCCAGGTTCCTGTGATTGTGTGAGAATCTAATAACGGAATTTTTTAAGGCTTTCAGTCCTTGTAGTTGAATAGAAAATCTCGAAAAACATAAAACAAAAATGGTTAGAACACCAATGTATAAGTACAAGGGGCACATTTTTTTTCATCTCATGATTATGAAGTCACTTATGCTTTTAGGGAACTGACCAATGATTTTTTTTGAACAATTTGGGTTGGTAATGCAGGAAAGCATGCTACTTTATACAGGTTTGTAGCATTTAAAGAATCATTTGTTTCATTTGTAATGTTTACCAAAATGCTTGCTTTTCTTAAATGCATTGTACTGGGGTTATATGGGTATTAACCCAGATACGCTGAGGCAGAGTTGCTTTTGTTCGCTCTTCTAATGAAGTTGATCCTTAAAAATACATTCACACTAAACAAGCAAGAGTAACTTTTTGTCCCATTGCTGATCTTTTGATCTTTTCTGTTTTAGTTATACCAGCAGAGTTGTTTCCAATGGATTGAAGGCACAAGTTAATAACCCAGAGTTGAAAGTCAGAGGATTAGACCCTCTCATCAGCCATTTAATTGACAAACTTCAGCATTTTAACCAGGTAAGCAAAGTCTTCACAATATAAAGCTAATCTATATCAAAATGATAAAGGATCTGAGATTAAAAGCATTGAGGGATATTTTGTACTGAGAAGTATTTTTGGAAAGTTCCATGCAGTTGGGAGGATGACAATGATGGTTTCAAGACACATTGCTCTTGGATTATGAGCTGTGATGAGACAAATGTGTCCCCTTGGGGTGAATTATAGCAAACTTTGCAGCTGCTCAATTTATGGCAGTCTTCCCAGAGTTTTTGAAGATCTACCTTACAGCCCAGAACCCCTGCAATACTGAGAAACTACAGTATGCCTCTGACATGCTCAATCCCATCCCTAGTACAAGAGCCTGAGGCAGATTGGGGGTGCTTATACTGCCCCATGATGTTCCTGCCTTCGGAGAACTCTCACTCAGTAGGAGCGTGACGTGCATACACAGAGACCAGGGTGGATTCTAAATCTGTGGTCACTGGATTCCCTGCAGTTTAAGTAGACATGTGACTTTTAAAATGGAAATGTGGCCGAGCACAGTTTTTAACCTTCCCCGGCAAAAAAGGGAAGCAAAGCTTCCATTAGGTGTGTCACAAGCATGATTAGTCTGTGTCTCCTTAAATTAGTAGTTCACATTCAACTGGGTGACTCTTCTGTCCAAATCAAACACACAGTCTTTTAGTGCTGCTGATCCTCACGATGCTATTATATGATTGCTTTAGTTTACCTCTTCTCAAGTTCCAGAATTGGTGTCAGTCCAAATTAGTTAGAGGTAACAGATTTAACAGCAATTGATTTTTTTATTTAAAGTATGCCTGTTTTCTTGTCAAGTTGAAAGAATGTTTACAACTGTGTCTCCAGAGTCTACAGTGTTACTACATTAATGCATCCCTAATCTTTCACCATTATAGAATGATGTAATCTGAGGATGAACATAGGTAGCTTGTAGGCAACAATAGTAGACCTCATTGCCCCTGTGCTGGCTGGCTGTCACAAAGGCAGAAATAACCATCGTGGCTAAAATGCTGGGGGAAATTACTTCTTTACCTGACTGTTGGAGCACTGTGCTATGACTCTGACTCATAATTTGGTCCCTGCTTTTCGAACAATACAGCTACATGCTGTTCCTTACTCAGGGCCTGTGGTAAATCCATGATCTAACTATTAATTAGCACTGCTTTGATTCAGGATTGGCTCTAATATTCTCTAGGTTGAGAATTAGGAAGTCTTGTATCACACTGTTTGATTTAACTTGCCACAGAGAATTACAACAAGCAACCTGATGTGATATTTAATACTTCAGTGAAATAAATATTATGTGGCCAGATTGATGGAAAGGATAATTCATTATTTATCTGTCTTTGCATGTTATCAAATAGAGTGTTAATTTCCTCTATAAATATTAGATATAGCCATCTGTGTAATAGTCTTCTATAAACACTGACAATCAGAAATAATTACAAATAAATTCATTTGAAAGTAGGTTTCTTTTGAAGTCCCCATTTATTTGCCTGCTGTATGATAATGATATGGAGGTTCTGATTTTCATGAGCTATGCACCTGTATGATTAAAAGTGTATAAAAACAAAAAGCTTCAAGCAACATTTTTTTAAGTAAGTATAAAATCCTCTTCATTCTTAGCTCTTTGTATAAGTTAGCTGGAAGAATTGCCTTCTAATTCTGCTTTAGGAAAATATCCTTAAGTAAACTTAAGTCCTATCAGATTGAGATACTTAGAAAGTAATGGATTCCAAGGGTGCAGGATTAAACAGAATACTGATTTCTGCCCTAAAATGGTTCGTTCTTAAGTACTTGGAATAATATGAATTCCTTTGATCATAATTTTTAGTGAGATTTCTTCTAAGATCAAAGCATCAAAGAAGTTGCTAAATTTCTTTTTAAGGCTTTTGCACAAAACATCAAACGTGTGGCTGTTTTCTGCTTTCTTGAGATTTTCATTTCAGTTGTGATATATTAATATACAAATAACAAGTGACACTGAAAAGCTGATGAAATCAGGAGTTAAATTGCCCTCAGTAGTGTCTGTAAATTATAGAGAGAGAGAGATGTATAGAGAGATAAAGTATATAATACCAGTGCTCTTTTTAGAGATTAATTGATTTTTGTAATAGGTTAAGAAAAATAATTTCTTCTTTTTTATACACAATAAAGGTTATAATTTAAAATGTGACAAGTAGTTTATTTTTGTTTCTTCTTAACTATTTGAAATGTACTGCATCACTTTAAGTAGTAACTGCAGGTTTTATTTACAGAAGGGATCCTGAAGAGGAAATGGGGTCGGGAGGGCAGAGGGTAGAAGAGGAAGGATAAGTATTCCCATGAGGAGTGGTGGCCGGATAATACAAAGGTAGTTGCTTTTTTAATAAGATTGCTTAACTGTACAGAGGCAAGTACGTTCCTGAAAAAGAGAGAAATATAGGTTTTTAAAAGAAGTAGGCCAAAGCTAAAGGACCAGTCAAGAATGTTCAGATAAGAATGAAGCTCTGACATGTAAAATCTAAAATGGGGATCAAAAACTGGAGGAAATCTTTGCCCTCCATGGAGAAGGAGAAATTAGATGGAGCCTGCTGACTAAGTGATGTCAGCCTTTATACACATTAATTTTAGATGGCTCCTGGAGCTTTTAACCCCTGAATTGTCCACACGTTAACACCTAAAATTAATTTCAAGAACACGTCAGGCAGCTTAAGTTTACACCACTCCAGAGCAGGTTTATCTCTGATCTGTCTTACCCAGCTTGTGTTTCATTAATGTGTGGCCACCCCCACAGATGAGCTGCCCAAGTTGCAGTCCTCCAGCATTGCAGAATGTAGTGTCCACTCCCCCACCCTTCCTGTTCTGTGTGGACGAACTTTCCACCCCATGAACTCTACTGCCCAGGGGGCAGTTCTGGTACCAAGCCAACTCCCCTTCCTGCCCCTGGGGTGAGACCTTTTCACCCCCAGGGGTGTAACCATCTGCAAACAGCCTGAAGAGCACATGCCAGCTGGGCAGGTTGCAGGGTACCCCACAAGTGGGGTCTAGGAGGGTGTGGGGCATGGAACAAGGTGAGAAGCCAGATCAGGTCCCCATGAGCTGGGGCTTCCTTCCCAGAACAGGGGCACAAAAGCTCCTTTCCTCACCACCCCCTCTACCGAGCCACCCTGGGAAAGCACAACCAGCACCCCCCACAACCTGATCCCAAATCCCATTTTATTAAAACATGAGACCTCCTTTAATTTACTTCCTTTTTATTTGTTTTTTTTTCATTTCTTTTAATTTTATCCTTCAATGACTGACTTCCTGCATTTCACTACCCTTCCCCCACCTCTATTTCCTTTCCACCCCCCATTTCATTACCCACCTGCATCCCATTAACTCTCCATCTCCCTGCTTCATGCCCTTCCCCAAACCATCTTCCACACATACCCACCTAGAACAGGGATAGAAGTCTATCCTGGCTCACCAGCCTTGTAGTGGCAACTCACAGTTGTAGCTCCTTCCTACTCAAGCCCCTGATTGCCAGTCCTCTGTGCAGCTGGGGGACAGTCAGAAAAAGGTTTTAGTAGGAATGTAAATAGTTAAATGATTATTATATTTATACCATTTACCGCTTACCATTTAGTGACCTCTGTCAGGAATGGCACTGACCCTGGCCTTGGCCCTGGCCCCTTACGTCTTCACCTTGCTGCATGGGTGGGTGCCAGGCCACTGGCTGGGAGCTGCTGGCAGGGAGAAGCGGCCATGGCTGAGCCACTTGCGGGGTGCTGCCCAGCTGTGAAGCTGTGGCTTCCCTTGCCCCCACAGGCAGGGGCTGGGGCTGGGGCTAGAACTGTGGACAGAGCTGGGGCTATGGACCTCTCCTGCGCTGGGACCCCCACCACCACGGGAAGGAAAGAAGGGAAGGAGGGAGGTGCCAGGGCCTCTACAGGGGCAGACATGGCCTTTCCACTGTAGCAGCAAAACTCCCAGCTGCCTGGTGGGTCTGCCCAGCCCCCCTGCAGCAGTGGGGCCCAGGCAAGGCAGTGGGCTGCCTGCACCTCCCGCCACACTTGACATAGAAGCCAAGACATAGAAGACTCCTGTGTGCTGCCAAGCTGAGCCCTCCACAGCTTGCCCCCCAAAAAGGAGGGGTCTGGTCCCAGAAGAGCATCCTTTCCCTGGGTGCACTGCATGGTTCCCCCTTCTGCCCCTGGTGCTGGGGCCAAATGGGGCCTGGCCCAGCCCTGAAGTGGGGCTGAACACATCACTGGCTTAGCTTAAGGAGGTGTTGTGGCAGCTGGAGCAAGTGTTGCTTGGTCTGAGGGGTCATCACCAGCCCATCACCCGGTGAGGACAGCTGCAGGGTGTCTCTGAGGGGCTGCAGTGCAGCAGCTCAAGCCTGGGAGGCTGCTGTTGCAACCTGAACACTTCCC